CCTAAGTCTTGGATTTCACAAGGAAGTTAGATCTGCATGCTTATGCTGGTTGGATTCAGCGGTAGGAAATGCAGGAGGGGAATGGCGCGTGGGTGTGTCCTGTGATGGGTTGGTGCCCCATCCTGGGTTGTTGCCTGCCTTATGCCCGTAGCCTCCGGGAGAGGATCCGGATTCCCTGTGACCCCGAATAGGGTAAGTGGTTACAGATGATTAGGACGGGTGCTGCACAGACTGATTCATCCAATTAGCACGTCATCATTCATGATGATGGTATTCACTAGAATGCTGATACCAGAGGTCTTGCTACACATTTGTGTTTTATGGGTAGCGACGATAGCAGGGTGGTGTGCCTGTGATTGAAAGGTTGCCGGTTTGAATCCTGTGCTTGGCAGGATTGCCACATCTCTGGGGGGCCCTCAAGCAAGGCCATTAACTCCCTGAAAAATGCTGGAGGGGTGACCAACCCAATGCTCAGACCCAGAGAGCAACATGGGATATGTGAGAACAAACATTACAAAGTACCTGTGCTTATAGAAAAGAAACTTTATTTGCCATTTGGTTTAATTCAATCATGAGATGTGATAGCCTGATTTAAATAAGTTTATTTAAATTTGACAGTAGGTAATGGGCATTAGCACATTAGCAGCAGCCATAACCACAGTGCCCTATGAGTAGGGAGACAGAATTAGCACAGAGGCTTATCATGGGCTTGCTAACAGCCCTGGCATTTAAAAAAAGATCCCTGCAGATGAAGGCCATAGCCCCAAGTATAAACCTTGACACCTTCTATTACATTACGTGATGGCTGTACTGAGGCTGCTGCACACTGTTCCCAGCTGGGCGACAGATTCCTGGCAAAGGGTGGGCAACTGGAGGGTTCACCCGCGCAGGGATTGGTTTCCAGGTATTAACTGCCATGGCAACGGTAGAACAATGGCTTCAGTGTGCAGCTCAGACATGCATTCCGGTAAGTTTGGATTTTTTACATACATTTTAGTGTGTTAGTGAGTAGGATCCCCCTGAAACAAGTGTGATGATACAGCAGATGTCGATTGACCCTCATTAAAGTTCCTAATTGTCTCTATACTAATATAGTCTCTGTTTAGCTTACAAACAAACATACAGGAGGGTCCAACGCTTTGTGTACTGTAAGTCCAAGCTGATCTGCTTTATTTACTGACTGTGACAACTTCCCTATGTCGCTTACATCGAATGCCAGTAACGGTGTAACTGAAGAGCTTCTCTCTGCAGCTCATGTAAGAGCCAATCGGGTCACTGATACCTGAGCCAAACCATTCTCTGGCTCTGCTTTCTCAACTGTGCATCATTTTCAATAAAAGCACCTGCAAAGTGAATTAAACGTGCACAGGAGCATAAAAATATTTTCCCAACAGGGCTGCATTTTCACCACTTCTTCCAGGCAGGTAACTCCAGACCCTCGACTAAACACAAAAAAGTTGCGTCCGCCTCCAATGTAATACAGCAGGAATTCTTTTATTTAAAAAAAAAATAAAAAATCCAGACCCTGTTTCGCAGCTTTCGTGCCACATGACATTTGTGAGGATATCTGCCATCCACATGGTCACACAAAAGCTGCCCATGTGCCCCCCCCCCCAATCTGCGAGGGGAACAGCAAGTCCCCACTCACAAGATGTCATGGCTGGGACTAGTGGCCCATCCATTGAAGCTTTAGAGCACAATGCTGTTCAGCACCATTCAGGACTATTGAGCCCTGCTAGAAAACTCTACCATGGTAATAGGCCTCTTCCCCAAACTCCCACTAACTGCCACGTGAATGAAGAATCATTCTGGGGATCCGGAAGGGGTCCTATCTGTCCAGCCATTAAGGTGCCATTTTTATATCTAGAATGCTGGCACATTACTCTGAACCTGACTCCTCATTAAGAAGCAGCTGCTGTAGCTTAGAAATGAAAGTATAATAAAACACTAACCTTTTCCCAAACAGTGGCCCTTTAGAGGTATTTTACCCAGGAAGTCCTGCATAAAAGGTCTGACCACTCCAGAGAAAGTCATTGAGCAGAAAAAGAAAAGGTCTGGGTGCTATGAATATGCCGTGGTACGGGAATCTGTGGCGTAAACACAAGATGACACACTGCTGAGGTAATGAGTTCCAGTGAAAGCGGCGGGCGTGCGAGGTCTTTGTGGAAGCCACTCGCACGCCAGGCTCCTCGCACAAAAGCAGTCCTGCCTGGTAACGTAGGCAGCCCTCGTCACGTCTGCCCTTGAGGGTGACGACGGGCCCATATTACTGTATGAAGGAGAAGCTGTACAGGACTGGAGCAGGGAGCTACTACTTGCATTATTTTTCAAAAAAGTGACGTGGACGTTTTGAGAAAGCAGGGTCAGCCACTCCTTGGAGTGATTTACTGTAAGGGCCTCGCTAATGGGCCCAACAGTGAAATCAATCTGCCAAGTCTAGGCTTTGAATCGGGGACCTTCTGATCACAGGCACAGTGTGGTAAGATGCTGAACCACGCATTGCACACAACACCATACTTTGTGGAAAGCAAAAGCAGAAGGCCACTCTGTGGTTCACTGGAGCAGGGAGCTGGATTATCCGGAAGGCCACCCTGTGGTTCACTGGAGCAGGGAGCTGGATTATCCAGAAGGCCACTCTGTGGTTCACTGGAGCAGGGAGCAGGATTATCCGGAAGGCCGCCCTGTGGTTCTCTGGAGCAGGGAGATGGATTATCCAGAAGGCCGTCCTGTGGTTCTCTGGAGCAGGGAGATGGATTATCCAGAAGGCCGTCCTGTG